GATGCATATGACCCGGAGATGGCTGCCTGAGCCCCTTCTACATATTCCCTGTAGAAAGACTGTACTTTCAGGGATCATTTCTATAGTTTGTTACATATTCCCTGTAGAATTGCTAAGTGCCAGCTCACTAACATCTATCTGTCCATTTTCCAGAGAGAAGCTAATTGCTCTTCCTTCCACTTTATTAATTGGCTATCTTTGATTCGGGTGTTCAACTGTGATCCAATAAGCTGTACCAAGTATAAGTCCCACAGAACAAGAGCCTCTTTAGGCCCCATACTACTACACGTGGATAAAGGATTGAATAATCCATGGAAAATAGGAATGGGCTAACCTGATACCTCAAAAGGCAGTATACTACGGCAAATTGGTAGGTTCAAGCAATAGGTACAGCAGCCCTCGCCAAACACTTCATATGCAAATATATTGTGGATTTTCTCTAAGAACATATATCTTATTTCCCAAATTTGTAATCACAGGGATCCTATTTCAGGGGGAGGTAGGGGAGGTGGGGATCCTATTTCAGTGGTTCATAGCCCTAGAATTCTGAGGAACACATTTTGGGGAATTCTGGATTAAATAATAGTAGTGAAATTATTAACTGAGTGAAGTAATATTGTTTGTCTCAGGGTGACACCAATCTAAGCATTTTTGTAATCCTTATATCAGTTACATGTGGCAGGTTCTATTCTTATAAATAAAGAGACTGAGGCATGAGAGAAGTTGAGCAATTTGCCCAAAGTTGAACAACTAAAGAGTGGGGGTGCTTGACTGGCATCAGGCAAAGTTTCATGCTTAACCTCTCTGCATTATACTGAAGACTATTAAGTGTGAAATAGCATTATATATTAAAAAAACAAGGTACATACCCTAATTTAAAAAAAATTATTGCTAAAAATTGCTAATCATTATCTGAACTTTCAGTGAGCTGTAATCTTTCTGCTGGTGGAGGGTTTTGCCTCAGTGTTGATGGTTGCTGACTGGTCAGGACGGTGGTTGCTGAAGGCTGGGGTGGCTGGGCAATTTCTTAAAATAAGACAACAGTGAAGTTTGCTGCCTCAATAGACTCTTCCTTTCACAGCTAATTTCTCTGTACCATGTGATGATCTTTAATAGCATTTTACTCATAGTAGAATTTCTTTCAAAATTGGAGTCAAGCCTCTCAAACCTTGCCACCGCTTTGTCAACTAAGTTTATGTAATATTACAAATCCTTTGTTGTCATTTAAACCATCTGCACAATATCTTCACCAGGAGTAGATTCCATCTCAAGAAACCAACTTCCTTTGCTCATCCATGAAAAGCAATTCCTTATCCATTAAAGTTTTATCATGAGATTGCAGCAATTCAATCACATCTTCAGCCTCCACTTCTTTTTTTTTAAGATTTCTTTCTTTCTTTTTTTAAGATTTTTTATTTATTTTAGAGAGAGGAAGAGCACAGGGGAGGGGCAGACGGAGAGAATCTTCAAGCAGACTCCCCACTGAGCAGGGAGCCTGACGTGGGGTTTGATCTCACAACCCATGAGATCACAACCTGAGTCGAAACCAAGAGCCAGACGGTTAAGTGACTTAGGTACCCACGCACCCCCAGGATCTACTCTTGCTGTTTTCACCACATCAACAGTTCTGTCCTTCACCGAAGTCTTGAACCCCTCCAGGTCATCCATGAGGATTGGAATCAATTTCTTCCCAATTCCCATTAATGTTGACATCTTGGCCTCTTCCATGAGTTACAAATGTTCTTAATGACATCTAAAATGGTGAATCCGTTCCAGAAGATTTTCAATTTACTGTGCTCAGATTCATCAGAGGAATCACTATCTATGGCTATAGCCCTATGAAATGTATTTCTTAAATAATAAGACCTGAAAGTCAAAATTACTCTTTGATCCGTGGGCTGCAGAATGGATGCTGTGTTAGCAGGCATGAAAACATCCTGCTGTGTTAGCAGGCATGAAAACATTTCACATCTCCGTTAGAGCTCTTGAGTGACCAGGAGTATTGTCAATGAGCAATCATATTTTGAAAGGAATCCTTTTTTTCTGAGCAGATCTCGACAGTGGGACTAAAATATTAAGTAAACCATGTTGTAAACAGATGTGCCATCACCCAGGCTTTGTTGTTCCATGTATAGTGCAGACAGAGTAAATCTAGCATAATTCTTAAGGGCCCTAGGAGTTTTGGAATGGTAAATGAGCATTGGTTTCAACTTAAAGTCACCAGCTTCATTAGTCCCTAACAGGAGAATAACCCTGTCTTTGACACTTTAAAACCAGGCATTGATTTTTCTTCTCTAGCTATGGAAGTCCTAAATGGCGTCTTCTTTCAATAGAAGACGGTTTCACCTATATTGAAAATCTGTTGTTTGGTGTAGCCACCCTCATTAATTATCTTAGCTAGATCTTCTAAATAATTTACTACAGCTTCTACATCATCACTGCTTCACCTTGCACTTTTACATTATAGAAACGACTTCTTTCCTTAAACCTCATGAACCAACCTCTGCTAGCTTAAAATTTCTGTAGCTCCCTCACCTCTCTCAGCCTTCACAGAATTGAAGAGAGTTAGGACCTTGCTCTGGTTTAGGCTTTGGCTTAAGGCAATGCTGTGACTTGTTTGATCTTCTATCTAGACCACTAGAACTTTCTCCATATAAGCAGTAGGGCTGTTTCACTTTCTTATCATTTGTGTGTTCACTGGAGTAACACTTTTGATTTCCCTCAAGAACTTTTCCTTTGCATTCACAAGTTGGCCCACAGTGTGGTACCTAACTTTGGTACCTAGTTTGGAGACCTAGCTTTGAGCCTATCTCATGTCTTCCTCTACTTTCAACATGTCTTCCTCACTAAGCTTAATCACTTATAGCTTTTGACTTAAAGTGACACAGACCTGCAACTCTTCCTTCTGCTTGAACACTTAGAGACCATTATAGGGTTATTAATTGACCTACTTCCCATACTGATGTGTCTCAGGGAATATGGAGGTCTGAGGAGAGAGAGACAGGGAAACAGCTGGTTGGTGGAACAGTCAGAACACACATTTATTAAGTTCACCATCTTACATAGGGGCAGTTTGTGGCACCCCAAAACAATTGGTTTGGTAACATCAAAGATCACTGATCAAGAGCACCATAACAAATATAATAAAAAATATGAAATACTGCTAGAATTCCAAAATGTGACAGACACAAAGTGAGCAAATGCTGTTGGAAAAATTGTGCTGATAGACTGGCTTAGCACAGTGTTGCCACAAACCTTTAAATTGTAAAAAAAAAAAAAAAAAAAAGCAATACTGCAAAGTGCAATGAAATGAAGCACAATAAAATGAGGTATATTCTGCAACATGTGAAATAACTGTTTCAGTATCAAGTAGGATGATTGCCGTTCCTTGTTTCTTTTGCTTTGTTACAGAATAGTATTCCATCTCATCACCTGCATTTTTGCCTTTGAATCCTGCATCCTTAGTGTCTCCCAAGGCCTTAGAGTTAAAAGACGGGTTTCCACTTTCTTTCAATGAAAAGAAATGTTTCATTTCTTTTTTTTTAAGATTTTATTTATTTATTTGACAGAGCGAGATAGCAAGAGCAGGAACACAAGCAGGGGGAGTGGGAGAGGGAGAAGCAGGCTTCCCGTGGAGCAGGGAGCCCAGTGCGAGGCTAGTCCCGGGACCCTGGGATCATGACCTGAGCTGAAGGCAGGCTTAATAACTGAGCTACCCAGGCAGCCCAATGAAAAGAAATGCTTACATACACTCTTATTCTTCAGTGTTCTGGGTCATTTAATAAACAAAATTTTCCTTGTTTCTCATTTCATGAGGAACAAATCGTTTCTCTTGCCAGGGTCCACTCTAGAACCTCAAATTACTGAAATAGAAGATCCGAGAACCTCTAGATTAACAGAAGAAAGATAAAGTGCACATAGGCATAAATGCCTTACTCTTTCATAAAAATGGAGGCTTATATGCCACCTGCTCTTTCATTTGAGTTATTGTATATTGTTTGTCCTCAAGAGAAAGTATGCTTCAATACTGTTATTTTCCATGAACTATGTCTCCGTGTATGCCTATATAGACCTAGGTAGAAAATTAAAAGGATACGTAGAAAATTTTCAGAATGTAAAATAATGTACCATTTCAAATAATCTTGTATTATTAGCATACACTCGAAAGAACAGATTATTATAGTTAAAAAAAAAAAAAATCCTCATGAGTTCCGTGACTGAGTTTCGTGTCACGGTAGAATACCTGGGGAAGACTAACTGGACTGAGGATTTCTGGAGCTGATACCTGATCTGCTTTCAAACACTGCGTAAACCGGCCTAAGTAAGCAGGCATTCCACATCCAGGAGACACCAACGGGATCGTGTGTTTTTGCTTTACGAATACCAAGCAAATAACTCTTGTGTTCCATGCACGATGCCTTTCCCTTGCAGTCCGTGATAATCTTTCATCATTTAAAAATATATGTTGAGGGCGCCTGAGTGGCTCAGTCGGTTGAGCGACTGCCTTCGGCTCAGGTCATGATCCTGGAGTCCCAGGATCGAGTCCCGCGTCGGGCTCCCTGCTCGGCGGGGAGTCTGCTTCTCCCTCTGACCCTCCTCCCTCTCATGCTGTCTCTCATTCTCTCTGTCTCAAATAAATAAATAAAATCTTTAAAAAAAAATATATATATATATATATATATGTTGAGCGTCTACAGTTTGCCAGTCTGTGATGCTGCAGGGAGGAGAACGCCAACCCGGTTCCTATGGCGCTTACACCGACAGGAGGTACCGCCTACCTATCCCAAAAAAGAAAACCTCACCCCATAATCTAAATTTGTGAAACCTGACTCGGGGGAACGGAAGGGCACGCACGCCCCTGCAGCGGCTGGAAGCGAAAACGCGCCGGCGGCCGGCGGCGACAAAGGCAGCCGGCCCGCACCCCGTCGCTGGGAGCGGCGCGCCGCTGTGACGCGCAGGCCTCGCCCCCTGCTCCCTTCAGCGCGCGCCCGCCCCCGCGAGCGAAGTGCGCAGACTCCCCGGCCCGGCTCCGGTTCTGTCGGGACGCCGCCGAGCCCGCGACGTCGCCTCCCGGTGAGTGTCTGAGGGGGCCGCCAGGCCTTGTCCTTCCGCAGTGGCCGCGCCGGCAGCAGGGCGCTGCAGCCGAGTCCCGGCCGCGCTGTTTGGTAAACAGAAGCCCCAGCGTGCCCGGCGCGTGCAAGCCCTCGCTCGGCCCGGCCAGCCCCGGGCGTGAACCGAGCTGACGGAGGATGGCAGCCTCCGGGGTGGAGAAGAGCAGCAAGAAGAAGACCGAGAAGAAACTTGCTGCTCGAGAAGAAGCTAAATTGTTGGCGGGCTTCATGGGCGTCATGAATAACATGCGGAAACAGGTACCGCCTTTGTGGGAGCGACGGACGCCAGGGGGGAGGGGGTCCGGGACTCGCGCCCCTGGCTCCCTGGGCCGAAACCGCGCCCGGTGGCTCGCGGCTCTTCCTCGGTCCTCGCCCTTCCTCCCATTTTCGCACGCTGGTCAAGCTGCTGTTCAGTGGAGGGTCGCGCGTTAAACCGTTCTCGAGCAGCCGCGTCGCCGCGTCTGCGGATGCTGGGGCTCCCAGGTCACACTCCTGGGGGACTCCCCGGGCTGGCGTTCGGCGTCGCGTCTCGGTTGTGTAACAGCTCTGCCCTAGTTATCCCTTTGTGAGGCGAGGATCCCTCCACTGGCGAGCCGCTTTAAGGTGTCGTGAGATCTTGTGCGAAGAAGCCCATTGGCACAGCCCAAGCCGAAGCCTCCAGAGAGGGGAGCAGCGGTGCTGGCCTGAAGTCAGCTGCTCTAAATAACGATCCCCGCCCCTCCTCTGCGTTAGCCGGGTGGAGCTAGTTGAAGACAGATCCTCCTGTGCGTGTTAATTTAGAGCAGAAACAGTCACCGATGAATGCCGCGCAGTCTTTTAAGGCCCCTGTGCGCCTCTGTTATTAAGACGAGCCCTTTGTTCTGTCTTTGATGTGTGGCGCATTAATGAAAGTCTTCACGTCGGCGAAAGGTGGGTTATGAAAAGAATGGATTTTAACACGGAGAATGTAGACTAGAGAGGTTTTTTGTTTTGTTTTTTTTTAATTCCATAACATCTTATACCAAAGAGCATAGAAAAGCCACTTGGTTACTTTTTTTATTCCGTAAGCTTTATTCTAAAAAATACGCATCTAAGGAGATGCGGGAATGTTTCTGTTTTGTAACCGTGGTTCTGTTTTTAAAGAAGACAAAAGCAGGATGTATGAATAATAGCAAAACCTCGTTTGCTTATCTAGTGGTTCTGATGAGAATATGGAAAACAGTACAGGAATTTAAGATTTGTATGAAGATACTAGCTTCTGGTTTCTTTAAGCAAACTCTGACTGCCGGGATCGTCTTTGTTCATCAGCTCCTGGCGTGGTGCGTGAATGCAGTAGATACCTGTCCGAATGCCTTTAAATCTTTCCTGGCTTTTGTGCTGAAGTAGCTGTGAACGTCTGAATTCAGTATTATGTGTAACTTACTTTCATGTATCTATTTCCATGTATACATTCAAGTTCCTTTCGTGTAAACCTTTTTATATTTACACCACCAGTGACTTCATATTACTGGTGCATTTAACAAGTGTCTGCTTATAAAGGGTGAACCGCCTTCACCAGTGCTCAAATTTGTTTCCAACAGCCCTCTCACTCCCCCTAGATATGTGGTTTTGTCTATGAACGCCAGCATGGTGAAGCATTGCCTCATTCCTTATGTAGATAGGGTGCAGCTGGGTTGCAGTATCAGTTGTTTACTTGAGGAAGAGGGGATTTTTCTGAAACTGTATGTTCAGCTCTTTGGGTTTAAAAATTGATTCATATCCCGTCCTTAGACTCAGCTTTAGACTATATTAACATCTGTTTATTTACTGTTAAGCTAGAAATAAAGTTAACTGAACAATCAGGATGCTGTTACTGTTACTTAGTAGGAAGGGGAAAATAGATGCTGGGTGGAACAACCAGGGATCTCTTCCACAGTGGTTAACTGACCTTAATCTGTTAGATTCTCTCTTTGTCAATGGCTTTACATGTTATTCGGGTATTCTCCAATAGAACTTTTACCAACTTCATGGAATCCTGCATCTTTTGCAAGATGTGCAGTTTCACTCTGCAGTTGATTTACGTTGTACTCGTATTGTTCTGTATAACATCTTAACACAAGAGAGACTCGCCAAGAATGACTGACAAGGGCAGTTGATGGGAATTAGCAGAAATAGAAACCCATCTGGGCCAGCGGAAGAATGTTTGAGTGAGAACCAATTTTATAAGTGTTCTTGTTCTTTAGTGAATATTATGTTGTGACTATTTTTGCTTCCCCATATGACCTCATTACTTTGGGGATCAGAATAATGAGTGCCTGGATGACAAGGACCCCTCTGTACATACCCAGAAACATTCTTACAGGAAGTTGAGAATGCGGTGAAATTAGAATGTCTGAATTCCAGTTCCTGCTCTACCGTTAATTAGTTTTGTGATCTTAGATAAATATGATTTAGGTCATTTCATCTCTCGCCAGCCTAGCAACCAACTCCATACATAGTGGGCCAGCGGGGGTTCTTCAGAGCCAGCAGCCTCAGCTTCTTATGGAGCCTTTTCCTTCATCATCCTTGCAGTCATTTCTAGCCTTTTGTTTTTAAAGTCAGCTTTCCAATGAAGTATAGGATTCATTAAAGGATACAAATCATAAACATGCATCTCAATGAATTATTACAAAATAGACATACCACTGCCAACAAGAAAAAGAACATGAAGAGTACACTAGAGGTCCCCCTTTACACTCTTCTCAATCACTAGCCACCCCCCAAAGGTAACCACTGTTTTAACTTCTATCACCATAGATTTGTTTTTTCCTGTTTTAAAATGTATATAAATGGAATCATACAGTATATACTCCTGAGTCTTGGTTTCAGAAAGCTTAACATTATTTTTGTGAGATTTATGATGATGTTCTATGTAGCTCTAGTACATCCTCATTGTATTTAGTATTCATTGTAGAAATATACCACAGTTTATCCATTCTATCATTATGGACATTTGAATTATTTCTAGTTTAGCACTATGAAGAATAGTACTACTTTGAACATTTTTGTATATTTTGTACATGTCTTTAGATGTGCACATGTATGCATTTCTGTTGGGAAATACCTAAGAGTGGAGTTGTGGAGTCATAGATTATGCTACACTCAGCTTTAATAGATACTGTCCTACAGTTTCCAAGGTTGTGCCAGTTTATGCTCATGCCAGCCATGTATTAGGTTTTTACTCTACCTCCTTATCAACACTTGGTATTGTCAGTCTTTATAATGTTAGCCATTCTAATGGGTATATAGTAGCATCTTATTTAATTAGGTTGAGCACCTCTTTATTTTCCTAACTTTTTGTTTAGATTAATTTTATTACTTGATACCCTACAGAGGAGCTCTACAAAGCAGGGCTAGGTCATAGTCACTACTGCTCATATCTAATTGCTTTTGCTCTTGTGTTAATGAAGTCTAGGAGACCCTTAACATTTTAGGGATATGTTTTGAGACCTTCCTTAGTACCACTACAGTTTACAGTTTCTTTGTGTTAAGTGAATTAAAGCATAATTAGAATTTAGAAGCTTATGTTAAAGACCTACTGAGAATTATGTGAGAGAACCAAAACTGATTTAAGGAATGGATGCTGAGCAGTCAGCTGGGCTTACTAACTAAAAATGAATCAACTTCTGTACACTCACCTCTTCAAGATTGTAAGTTACTACTAGTCATTAATCTTTAGGGTCTCTTGTGAATAATCTGTACCCTCTGCATTAAATCCTCAGTAACAGAAACACTTCTTGAGCATTTCTTTTCTACCAGCCATTGTGCAATGTGTTTTACATGCTTTGTCTCATTTAATTCCGCCAACAGCTCTCATTGTCATCTCCCATCATCCAGACCTTCCTATTTTTAACTCTCTGCTGTCTTCTCCTTTTGTCTGTCCAGTTTAGGAGATAATCATCTCTCTTCACTCCCTTTCCAATGCCCCAGGCTTTCTTGACCTTCCATTCTTTTTTCACATCCGTCTGGTAAAAAGCATCGATGACTATTTACCTTTTTTGTGCAAGGTTTCCAAGCACAGCTGGAAAATATCCCATTACTGGGCAGTTCTTTGCCAGGTAAGTCCTGATTTCAACTCAGCTGTCAGTACTGGTGATCTCCATTATTTTACTGTTTTCCTCTAAAATGAGTCCTGTCTCTGTATCTTCACTTTCAATAGATCACCCCCTTTTGATATCATAAATAAATAAAAGACATTATTTTGGTACTATCTAACTTTTAAATTTCCACCACCATATCTATACACCTATTTTGACAGTTTTTAATTTTGCTACAGTGAAGAAGCTGCCTCCTTTCCATCTAAAGCCAGTACTTTCCCTTGGGCTTTGGCTCCCTCAGTATTAGCCTAGTCAGAAAAGTTATATTGTTGGTTATTCCATCTCTGTTGAGCATCTTTAACTTCTCCTTCTCTACCTGAGTCTAGCATTTAGGCATGTTTTAATTTCTCTAGCTTTTAAACCAACCATCCAAACCAGTCCACCTATTCTTAATCTCAACATTCCTCTATAAATAATAACTCTCTCCCCGCTATTAAAACCAGAGGATGGGTAGATTCACTGCTTCCCCCCCCCCTTTTTTTGGCTCATTGTTGACTTACTCCTCTAGCTCAGTTTGGCTTTCTAACTCATCCATTTGGATGAATACTTACTGAGACCCACTGCATGCTAGGCGTTTTGCTAGATTCTATAGTTGCAGTGATGAGCAAAACCAGACAGTCCTTACTCTCATGTAGTTTTAGTCTAGTAGGAGAGTGAGACATTAGTCAAGCAGTCACAGAAAAGAAATGTAAAATTGCAACAGTGGTAGGTATTATTAAAGAGAAGAACGTGATACAGTGAGGGGTATGATTGGATGATTTGACCATCAAATCAGGAAGATTTTCCCAAGGAACTGGTAAATGGCCTGAGAGCTGAAATAAGAGTACGTGTTAATTAGGCACCTTAAGGAAGAGCTTCTTAGGTCAATGAACAGCAGATGCAGAGGCCCTGAGTCAGAGACCTACTTACCATAGAATGGCAAGTTCAGGAGGCTGATTAAAGGCCAGTATGACTGGAGCACAGAACATAAGGGGGAGGATGGTGTAATATGAAACTGGAGAAGTAGCTAGAGACCTGCCCATGCACAGCCTCCTAAGTCAAGTTAGGAGGATTTGCCTTTATTCTAAAACCCCTTCAGATGTGTGTTGTGCGAGAGAAAAAGGGGGAGAGAGAGAGAGGAGGGATCTGCAGGTATTTGTTTTTCTTTTGAAAAAGATAGTTCCT